GATAACCATTTACATTCGGATATCGGTGATAACCATTTACATTCGGATATCGGTATAGCATATCAAACAAACAATTGCAAAACGAACTTTTATGTGCGTGTATACTCCTGTCAACAACCCCAGGCCTGCAGACCATCTGCGCCTTGCAGGTCGCAGCATGAGGGCGTCACAAGGTTGCTGTGCCAGATGGTGGCACCTTGAAACCTTTGCGCGATTGCCTAGATGGAGTTCAGTACCGGTCGATGGGGTGAGGAGACGGAGCCAAGTGCTTTGGGTAGGGCGATCACGGATGCGGTTCATCCACGCCGTGTTGGTCCTGGTCTTGGTCCAACTGGTCCTGGTCCAACTGGTCCAATACCGGCATCGGGACCAGTCGATCCCGGGCAAAGGAGTGCAGAGAACGCACGCGGCCACGGCAGGCGAGTAAGTTGAGGGAAGTCTTTTTGGGCAAACTGGGTGCTTTGGAGGCCATTGCCACTCAAGGACGCCGGCCATCTTTGAGACTTCAAGTTGCCTCGAAGGCCACCAACCCGGAACATAGTATGGATTCCTTTCTAGAAGCCTATCTGCCCGGAGTGCCCGGTCATTTCCAGGATGGGTTTCTCGGTTCCCGGACAAAAAGTCGAACGGAAAAAGTCGAGTGCAAAAGATGCATGAAAAATTGAAAAACAAAAAAGTGAAAGATTTAAAAATCGGCAGGGACATAGGTCGAGTCTAAAAAGTCCAAGGACAAAAAGTCTGCAAGGATGAAAGTCGAAGGACAAACAGTCTACAAGAATAAAAGTCGAATCGGAAAAAGTAAAAAAGGCTAAAAGTAGTTGGGATGAAATTCGATAGGACAAAAGTCCAAAGACAAAAAATCGGTAGGGATAAAATTAGAAACGAAATGAGTGAAAAGAGAGAACATCTATAGGGATAAAGGTAAACTCGGATGTGTAACAAAACGAACAACCAAAATCACTAAGACAAAAATGTCATGAGGATTTGGCTCCTGGTGTTAAATGTGAATACAACTGTGGTCCTAGGGAGAGACAAATGGGGCCGGATGGAACTGAACGGTACGGGACGGGAGCAGGCGGGACTGCACGGGGCCAAACCACACTAGCAGTGACCGGGTGAGGACAACGAGATGGTACGGGACCGGACAGAACTGCGCGGCACCAAACAGGAGCAGGCGTAGCCGGACGCGATCATACAACATCGGAGGTCACCGGACATGGCCGAAAAGAATCGGATGAGACGAAACGGGGCCAGCCGGGACCAGACGGAACCAGGCAAAACCAGACAAAACCGGACGGAACAGGATGAGATCAGACGAGACTGGACGGAGCATGATGCCACTGGATGGCGCAGGATGAGACCAGCCTTCAGAGCAAGCTGCCAATCAAAGGCCTAAATACGACGCAAAAAAATCTCAAATGTTCCGCAACATTAACTGGCTCCCGTCGACTACGTTATTCCTGGCGCTTTACACTGGGGAAAGGGAGGGGAGCGGGGTGCGCAGGGTGGCTACAGGACAGCAGACGGTGTCTCTTGGCCGATTATGTCGGCAGTGAACCTGCGTGTGCATTATGAAACCTAAAAATACTCACACCTTGTGTAGATTCACTCCAGATACAAATTTGTTGAGATCGATATGAGCAAAGAAGACCTTAATAAGCTCCTGATTATTGGCCAGGAACCCAGTTTTGTAAAATGAGCTCGGGGAAGAGGGGGGAGGAAGCAGCGGTGGGGGGGGGGGGGGGCAAAGAAAATGGCTTAGCCTTCCTTCAAAACTGCAATAACTGAATCTCTTCCCGAAATTGTGCAGGGACTCCCCACCCGAATAGGCTACTACACACCCCTGCGTTCGGCATTAAGAGTCCATGGTTTCTATGCCGAGATATTTTGTGACGGAATGCGATGCACGTCGCCACGGCCTTTTATGGAGGGCCAGCGACTGCATCGGTCATTTCAACGCTCATGGGCCATGGTGCAGCCGGGACTGGAACCCGGGCTCCCCGCGTAGGAGTCCGATGCGCTAGCCACTCGGACCTTGAACTTGTCAGGAGAAGCGGTTAAACGGCGTTATACAGCAAACATGCATTATATTGTCATTGCTCGGAATTTTAAGCTGTGCTCATGATAACAAGAGTGTCAACATACGTACTCAGAAGTGGCTCGAAGACTTCCTGACGGCTTTTGTTTCTTTAGGCTTTTTGTCTTCTCACTTCTCTATTTTGACTCATCCCTGTCGACTTAAACCCTGACGACTTAAACATTTGGACTTTTTCAGTTCGACTTTTAACGCTATCGACATTTTATCTGTCGACTTTTTTCTATTCGACTGTTATCTCTTTCGACTTTTTTCCTTCGGCTTTCCGTATTCGACTTTTATCCCAGAGGAATTTTATCCTTATCTTAGTGTCGTTCGACTTTGTTGTTCGACTGTTTTCCGATTCAACTTTATCCGATTTGACATTTATTCCAGTGGACCTTTATCCCTTTCGACCTTTTTTCATTTGATTTCTTTCCCTTCCACTTTTTCATTCAGCCTTTTTCCATCGACCTTGTGTCCGGACGCCTGTTTCTCTGCCACTAGCAGCCACCAGAGGATTGGGCTGTAGTCCTAAGTTCTCTGCCGCATCGAATGTGTAAACCTGCCCCCCCCAAATGACCTAGACCTAGCATAGGGCTTAGGTAAGCTAGGATAAGGAGCAATTCCACCATCAGTATAGTCCAAGATTACTCGGAAACCAATCCCTAACGAAGAGGCAAACGGAAATTCTCCTGAGTTTGGGTATAGGGGAGCAATGCTTAGATTTGGATAGCTTTTTAGCTAACCCCGAGAGACCAAAGCTAGATTTTGACATAACTGGATGCAAGAAGCGGCAGCCCCTTCCCCTCCCCCCCCCCCCCCGTCTCGCGCATTCGTCAACGAAATTAACTCGCGGAAGACTGTCAGGAATCAGGACTGAAAACATTCCAAGGTCTGATGAGGTCAAAGGTCAACATAGTTTCTTATTAAACCTTCTAGACTGTCCCCACAACTCTTTTCACAGCCTGGATTCACGAAACATGGACTTCCGAAACAATATGTTTCACGACAGGATCCGGATCTGGACACTGGGCTGAAAATGTTTATCGGGGTGCAGAGAAAGGCTTGCATCTCAGCCATCTTAAGTCACACACAATCAGCTACTTATGAAGCCCTGTACCTCGTAAGCGACAAATGCATCGCTCGGTCCTGAGCCTTGGCATCGGTTTCGTAGATCTGCACGGACACTCATCGCGACCGCCCTTTACCCCGCGTCCGACCGAGGGGAAGGCGACTTCCCCTAAGGTTTTGGAGCACAGGTCAAAAACAAACGTTCGCAGCAGCACGAACTTTTCAGCACCTGTTCATCTATCATCTTGGCATCCTTTGTGCAAATTTGAGCTTTGATCTACCAAAATCAGTGACCTAGGCCAGGTCAAAGAGACCAGCTCCTAAAAACTGACCACAAATAACTTTTGTGGGCATAAAATTTGGCAATGTTCAAACTTTCTATAGCAATAGAACATGATAGTACCTACAGTTTTTATGTTTCAGATTTGTTACACAGGCGAGATCGGTGAACTGAAGTCAGATAAATACTTACTTTTGTTTCGTAAGCAACGCACATTTGTGCGCATTTTCGTGCAGCTTTGGTGTTTGTATATTAGGAAAGAGCACTACCTCACACGCACAACCATTGTATGGTCACAGAGCACATGGCTGTGGCCCATGCCATGCCATACCTCTATGGGTACCTTCTGCAAAGCACGCGCTGAGCTCAAGATAGGTAGTTTAACAGCGTACTCTTGGATTCATAATTCGAATTCTTCATTGAAAACGTGATGTGACAACATTCCAATGCGTAATGAGGTCAAAATAGGTAACGTAAGGACACACAAGGTCATATGAGGTCATCCAGGATCATCGACCTGTGTTAGCAGGGGCGGAGAGGTTCGATGAACGAGTGCAACGCGCGTAACCACCTTCTTATCGTGTTTGTGAAGGTGATATTGCATAATTTCATGTGCTAGCGTGCCTGTCCTCAATTTCTTACGAAAACATTATCAAGCGTCGAAGGAACTTTGCATAATGTTGGCAACGGCTACGCAATCTTGAACACCTTTAGATGTACCATACACTATTTTTGACTGCAAAAAAACCTTGTTCTGATCACCTACATCCGTTCAGCACTTCAGTTTTTTGCATTGGGATGATTCATCAATTTGACACAAGTTAACCTCAGATGAACTCTAGGCCATCCTAGCATTGTATTTTCGTGTCTGGAAGACTTATGACTTGCAGCTGCACTCACTAAGATGCAATTAGTCAGAAGCAATCGCGAAACAGTATCGCCCTTGTAAGCTGCTGGTAGACTTATTTTGAATGGCGATCTGGTCTGACCGGATCCTTGCGGGGAACAGAAATGATCAGGAATGGACTGCGCACAGTTTTAACGCTTATTTCGCGCTGTCAATATTTGCCTTAACGTGTTAACGCATGTTTTAACCGTATCCATCGCAACGACCATTTATGATCTATCGTGCTCTCTGGTTACACTTGACTGAGGTCAAAGATTTTGTGTGCATTCTTCATAATTTGACATGACCTTCTGAAAAGTATCTTCACTTTTCACATACGGAGTATGAGAGTTGAAGATCCTAGGGGGAAGCCAACTTCTCCCCGGCCGGGCGCGATTGTGTCACGCCCCCGGCCGGCAGCAGGTGAAAGGCACTTTATCTAGACTTCCGCACTAATTCAATTTGCCAAACGTAAAGTAAACACAACTGAATGGCTACCTCCAACCCGAAGGACTGAAAAATCATTTATGAACCTTGTATTATAAACTACACGGCCTTGTACGCGGCGGAGGCAACCTTGCCTCCTCCGATTACAACATCAGCTGAATCCGTCAGTCGTGCGTCACGCCGGTTGCGCCGCCAGCTGTACAGCAAGGCCCGATGTGGCAGTCGTGGGGCGCATGAAGAGGCCGCGGGAGGGGGGACCGCAGTTGCGGAGAGGGCAGCGTGTCAGATTAGCGGGGAGGTGGAGACACGGCTAAGGCCGTATATGCGCGGCCGGCTGTCAGCTGGTATCATCCACCTCGCTGGAGGGAGGGCCGGGGGCGCGACCCGCGGCGTAGAGGTCCGTTGACCCCGTGGAAAAGGTGTGTGCGGCTGGCGTTGCGGTTTCTTCAGCCCCAGATTAGCGTAGAAATACGTTACAGCATCGAATCAGAATACTGAAGTACTTCACAGAGTCGGAGAGGTGTCATTTTCGAGAAAACTAACATTAAAATCTTGAAAATCCACAGCTTATGGTCCACCAGCCTCATGTGTTATGCGCCATATTCGTAAATTTTGAGCGGTGCCTTGTCTAACAGACTTGTTACCAAGTTACCCACCATATTGAACCCTATTGCTAATTGTAGACTGGCTGCTCAGACCAGTATTCACCAGCCTCATGTAGCATGCTCCATATGTAGCCACTCTCTCAATGCATGATGGCTTGATTTCAGGCATTTGTGGGTTACCTGCTGCTTGGACAACTGGCATTGTAATTACCCGAAATGCTGTGGGGACTTTGTGTGTTTGTATGAGTGTGAGCGTAAACACGTACCATTATCATTCTTAGTTAGTAAGTAGCATGTTTGTGAATAGTATTGGTGTTCTCTTTCATTTCAATGTGTTTACTCTCACTTTCATTTTCACTTTCACTCTTCCACATTCACTTTTCTTTGGTTTGACCATGCAAACCACTGTTGCATGTTAAGCTTTTGCCACCAAATTCTGCTGTTGACCAGGAATTGGTGATCAGATGTTGATCAGGCCTCACACAACAAGCACTGCTGAGTGTTGGGACTGATCCTATGAGTTAATGTAATTAAGAGGTTTGGACTTAATTTGGAAATTTGAGAGATAGAGCCTGTGTGAGTTGATGCATGTATCTCAGTGTTATGTCTATGTTATGGTGTTTGTTTACACAAGTTTTATTAGTTCTTAGTAACAAATACTGATGCACATTGTGCATTTATCCAGATAATGGTAAACATCCACATGAGTTCATCAGTCAAGATCACTGATTAAGGCCTCTGTAAACAGGCATGTAAGTTGGTCTGAATTTGTAGATAAGTAAACCCCAGTGTTTCACATTATCAATAATATCAGCTTTGAGTGTTCAATGTGTTGACAGGTTGACTGTTTGTTTTAGTGTCTCTTTAATTTTGTCAAAACTTTGTGTCTTGCTAATGCTGTACCTGCAACCCGCAGATGACGATGGGCGCTGGGAACTCAGGCTCGGGGGCCACTCATCCTCTGAAGATTGTTGCCAACATCTTTATCTCCTTCATTGGTGCAGGAGTGTTAGGTCTACCATATGCTTTCAAGGAGGTATGTTTTTACTCTGCTTTGTTTGTCAATATATGCATGTGCTCAACTGGCATGATCAACATTGCATTCTGTGCTTCAGTAGTTAATTTGTGTGTATGCAAGATGCCAATGCATCTTGTGTTAAGATGTAAACTGATTTTGTTATGCAATGCCAACAAGTTTGCCACTTCTCATTGCTATGTGCACTCTTCCTTGCAGGCTGGTTTGGCAGAAGGAATCCTGATAATGGTGACAGTTGGCTATGTCTCCATCCGTGCCATGTTCCTCATCATTGACTGCAAGTACTTGCTGCTGCAAAAACGTGCCCCAGGAAAGGCTGCTGTCAAAAGCTATATGAAGAGCAATGTAAGCCAAATAGACATGAGCATGTCACAGGGTGGAATGCCTCCAGGGGCTCCTGGGTCCGTGGTCATTGTTGAATCATGATAAAGCTATGAGTCTCTTTCAGTGATAGAGCCCTTCCCATGCAGAGGTTTTGTGAAGATCAAGAGAGAAATAGCTTTGGTATGCTTCATGTCTGCACAGTCCAAGTCCATCTTTGAAACTTAAGTCGCGTAGCTGCGTACCATCGTACGTTTGTCTTTTCTTGTAGAGAATCCGAAGTGTTCGCGTTAATGGCTGCCCGGTCGCCGCCAGGTTTCCCTGAAGAATGGCTCGGTGGAGCTGAAGCTGCCTCTGCTGAAGGGCGAGGACGCCGCGCAAGACGACGAAGAGGATGATAAGATCGTCGTCGACACCACTCACGAGATCACATACGGTGATCTGGGTATGTGCGTCAGTCCGTGATGCGCCTCGACAGGGAACCCGGTGCCTCAGTCCGTGACCCGCCTCGACACGGGACCCGGTGCCTCGGTCCGTGACCCGCCTCGACACGGGACCCAGTGCCTCAGTCTGTGATGCGCCTCGACACGGGACCCGGTGCCTCAGTCCGTGACCCGCCTCGACACGGGACCCAGTGCCTCAGTCTGTGATGCGCCACGACACGGGATCCAGTGCCTCAGTCCGTGATACGCCTCGACACGGGACCCAGTGCCTCAGTCCGTGACCGGCACCTCCTACACCGTCGGCGGTCACAGCATGCGCTGCGGGGCGTGCGGCGTGGAATGACTATGCTCGGGGCTGGCTGTTTGCGAGGCTCCCCGGCTACTGGGCGGGATCGCGCCCCCTGCCCTGTCACGGACGCGTGCGGTGTCGTGACTGATGTCGCCTGCCCGACGACCGACGCCTCCAGCGTGTCTGGGAGGTGGGCCGCCGCACGCGGTGTTTCGGCTCAGGCCATTTCCTGTGTCGCTGGCTTACACGGACCCGCAGGCTGACGGTGCCGCGCGGTCCTGTTATGTTGCCACGCCGATCCATCTGACCGTCAGCCCCGGCCCCGGTCCGCTGACCGCCTGCTCTTGGTTCCGGCAGGCTTCTACGCATTCGGGTCGAAGGGCCGCTGGCTGGTGGATGCCACAGTCGTGGTCTCACAGATAGGTGGGTGCACATCATGTCGGTTGGACAGGCTGATGCTTAGACTTTTGAGTGATTCAGCCGTGCAACAGTTCCTGCATCAACTGACAATTATTGAGCCTCAGCAACAGGCTGGACGCCTTCTGGCCGGACAGTGTCACCGGACTGTCATGGGAGCTAGGGAAGACCTACCCAGTGCAGCCGATAAACGACGTATCGTAAAACTAAGAACTCAGCATATCGTATCATTAAACTTAAAATTCAGCATATCATCTATCATCAAGCATACATCATAGCAAAGCCCAAGGGATAAATGCAGCCAACAACCTCATGTTTCATCTTGTCCACTACTTGTCTATGACAGGCTGATAATGTTTGGTATTTACAGGATTCTGCTGCGCATACCTGATATTCATATCGGAGAACCTCTCCACGTACATATCGGGAGTCACCACGGGTCAGTGGCTCATCCTCTTCCTGCCTCCGCTATACCTGCTCTGCCTGCTGCGGAAGCTGGAGAAGCTCGCCATCTTCAGGTGGGGGCTCCGTTTGCACGTCCACGGTCAGCCGTCAGACGTGGTGACGGGCGTGGTCGTATAGATGTCATCAGCACTAATCTTAGCTAAAACACTGTTTTCTCTTGTTTCATACTGTGTCGTCAGCTGCCCGCGCCTTTTGGCACGCCCGTGTCGGGCTGCACACAGCCCGTCCCGTGTCTGTGTGTGCTGTGTGGTGACCCCCGGGGTATGGCGAGCGCCCAGCGTGCCGGGCGTGCAGTGGGGTCCGGTCCTGACTTCTCGTCCCGGTGGTCGGTCCCGGCCTGCTCGTGTGTCGCTGATCGGTGGGCGGCGTCCGTCCGCTGGAGCGGTCCCGGCCTGCTCGTGTGCTTGCTGATCGGTGGGCGGCGTCCGTCCGCTGAAGCGGTCCCGGCCTGCGCGTTGATCGGTGTGCGGCGTCCGTCCGGTGGAGCGGTTCCGGCCTGCGCGTGTGCTGCTGATCGGTGGGCGGCGTCCGTCCGCTGGAGCAGTCTCGGCCTGCGCGTGTGCTGCTGATCGGTGGGCGGCGTCCGTCCGCTGGAGCAATCTCGGCCTGCGCGTGTGCTGCTGATCGGTGGGCGGCGTCCGTCCGCTGGAGCGGTCCCGGCCTGCGCGTGTGCTGCTGGTTGGTGGGCGGCGCCTGTCCGCTGACCGTCCCTGTCGCTGCAGCGTGTTCGCCCAGCTCTCTACCATCATGGCGTTCGCCGTCGTCTTCTGGTTCGACTTCGAGCACTACTACGTGATGGAGCGCTTCCATCCGCGCGAGTTCTCCGACAACGGCTTCCCGTTCTTCTTCGCCATCGCCATCTACTGTTACGAGGTGAGCGTGGCTCCGACCCCCGAGCTGGGGTGGGGGGAACTGGGCGGTGACAAGGCGCGAGCAGCGGGCCAGCCGAAGCCGTGTGCGTGCCGAGCCGGGATGGACGGAGTGCCGTCGACCCGTGGGGATCAGTTTAGTTTGACCGCGGTCAAACACGGACGCCCCCCTCCCCTGACATGGTGACAGCTGGATGCGCTGACTCCGTCACGCGTCAGACATCTATAGAGGGGAGGGACATCGGGATTTTTACGAATTGCTATCTGCGCAACGTGTTAGACGTCAAGTTTCGCAATGCCGCGATATGACGGAGCCAGCGCTCCAAAGTTCATCCAGTTGCTTCGACGATAACGTGGCTAGTAATGGATGCTATCAGGCTTTTTGGCCTCCGGCGGGCTGTTCACACACATTCGCGGGCTGTTAATCCGCTTATTGCCCATTGGTCCCGAGCCCTGACATTCCGGCCCGTCTCCCGCCGGCTCGGTGCGGACGGGCCGATCCTGGACAAAGGGCAGACGCAGCACAGTGAATTGTGCGTCGGGGGCAGCAGAATGGAAAACATATCGCCATCCTTGCCGCCCGCATGATCGCATACTGCTTCACTGGACGGATGCCATGACTGGACCAACAGACTTCCCGTGGTCTGGGGTCTGTTGCTCCTCCCGGCAGTGACAGAGGTGATTGACCACTGACCCGGTGCTGGGCGTGGGCTCGCAGGTCACGAACGGAGCCTGCTCGCCTCGGGTCTTGGTCTCCAGCGCCGGGGCCGGCTCTCGCGCGTGTGCGTCGGCGGCTTGTCAAAACATGCTGCGACGTGTGCATGTCTTGACAAATGTCCGTGGCGTGCACGTGTATGCCCGTGGCGTGCACGAGATGGACTCGACAGACAAACAGACGAAACCTTGCGTGATGTTCCGAGGGACGGATTTGGTTAGAGCTGCGCCGACGACAGCGCCCGGCCAGCTGTGCCGACCCCGGCGTAACAGGCGGACGGCACCTCGCCGCGCCTGCCTCCCAGCGGCCGTGGGTCGGTCCCTCGCTGGAGCGGGCCCGCCCGGCCAGCTGTGTCGACCCCCGGCGTAACAGCGGACCGCCACCTCGCCGCGCCTGCCTCCCAGCGGCCGGCTGTGACCACGCCCACAGCTTTTAACGCCGCCGGCTGCTGACTCAGTCCACAGGTGGTCGGACGTTGTCTGGTCGGGGCATCGGCGTGGGCTAGTAAGTTTCGCCGCTGGCGAGAAGGCCGGGTAACCTTCGGACGCTATGGTTTAGAATGTATGTGTCGGCTTATCCCAGCTTTTAACGCCGCCTGCCGCTGACTCAGTCCACAGGTGGTCGGGCGCTGTCTGGTTGGGGCATCGGTGTGGGTTAGTAAGTTTCGCCGCTGGCGAGAAGGCCGGATGACCTTCGGACACTATGGTTTGGAATGTGTGCGTCGGCTTATCCCAGCTTTTTATTCATAAATGGAAATGATGTGATGACTCTACTGAGAAGTGGCCAGAGTATGGTCAGTGAAGGCGGTCCCCGGAGCTGCAGCCGTACGCAACATTGCGCTCCAGAGAGGTTGCTGGGATGGCGACTGCAGCAACTGTGGAGGTCAGCAGTACGACGTAACTGTCGAGGTAGGCGTTAGGTCACCGGGTCCCGTCCACTGTAGGTCGCGATGGTTACTCCATGCGTAGTCCCAGACTGGCATGGGTCTGATCTCGGCCCGACTCTGACTCTGACAGTGCTGCCGCTTCGCCACACAGGGTCGCAGTTGGGCCACGGCGGGCGGCTCCGTGCGTCTATCTGCCGCTGTAAGCCGTGTCCTTGCTTGTATCGTTATTGCCCGGACAATCTGCCGGCCGTCGGGGGGGGGGGGGGGGGGGGGGTGGGGGGAGTAATTGCTGCTCGGTGGCGTTGGCGGCCCGTCTGATAGGAGATCGATACTCCGAATACGCCGAGACATCAGACAGACCGCCGCCCACCGACTGCACATGGGGCGGTGGTGATGCTACCCTGGCCAGACCGCCGCCCACCGACTGCGCGTGGGGCGGTGGTGATGCTGCCCTGGCCAGACCGCCGCCCACCGACTGCGCGTGGGGCGGTGGTGATGCTGCCCTGGCCAGACCGCCGCCCACCGACTGCGCGTGGGGCGGTGGTGATGCTGCCCTGACCAGACCGCCGCCCACCGACTGCGCGTGGGGCGGTGGTGATGCTGCCCTGGCCAGACTGGCGCCCAACGACTGCGCGTGGGGCGGTGGTGATGCTGCCCTGGCCAGACCGCCGCCCACCGGCTGCGGCGGTGGTGATGGGGCGGTGGTGATGCTCTGAATGCTGTGATACGGTGAGCGTTGTTCTGAAGGCCCGGAACGCAGCTCTGCTCGCAGCGAATGTGGCGCAGCGGCGTCTCATCCTTCCATGTGATACACACCAGTCCAGGGGCCTTGTACGACCTTATGAAGAGGGTGGACCACAGCCCGCCTTAATGCCTCAGCGAAGTGTCAGGTGGATGCTGTCCTAACCGTACGTGACGCCCGGAGAGGTGCTGACCCGGTCCGTGTCGGCAGGGTGCCGGCATGATCCTCTCGCTGGAGAACTCGCTGGCTGAGCACGTGCGACCCAAGTTCAAGATGATCTTCGGCCGCACGATGGCGTTCGTGACGGGCCTGTACGTGGTGTTCGGCTGCTCCGGCTACATCTCGTTCGGCCCCGGTGAGTGCCATCGCGCCCTGGTCGCATGACAACGCCTCCAACACGGTCCACCGGACGGGAACTCATCGTGTATGCACAGCGTGATGTGAGTTGGGGCAGTCACGCAGGACGCCGCTCAAAATATTCAGTAAGGGAGCGGTGCCCGACAACCTCCGAAACTATTTACGAGGCTGTGCACTAGCCATAGGTGATGCGCCTTATATAAGGCTGTGCTGCCTGCATGTTTACCGTTACAGTGGGCTTGTAATATTCGTTCGCTGCATACAGTGATATCGGTCAATCTGTTGGCACTGCATGTGATGTGGAACAGCTGCTGGCCGCTTGAAGCCGGAGGATATCGGCCTACTCTTTCATATCCTTGGAAGGCAGTGCTGTTATGTGACCTACCGACCCGCTTCTGCGGCCTGACCCCGATGGCTGTCGTGTGACCTTCGCAGTCCTGTCCACAGGCGGACCCTGTCCTCTTTCCTCGGCCCCGCCGCGGCCCAGCTCGCCGGTGGTTGCTCTTCCGCCGCCGGGCGGGGCGCCGTTTCGCCGGTCGTCCCCGCTGCCAGGTGGCGTTCCGTCACACCTGTCACGCGTGACGTGACGTGACGTGACGTGGCGTAACGTGACGTAACGTGACAGGTCCGTCGCGGCCTGTCACGGGACGCGCCAGACCCATCACCTGCCACGGACCCCTCCGAACCGTTCGGTGTCCTGCCCGACCTTGCGCTCCTTTTCGACACCTTCTCCCTCCCCCTCCCCATTTACGCTGAGCCATTCGCCTCGCCTCCTTGTTAAAGAGGTGTACGTGTCACTTTTTGAAACCGCTTTCAAATACACGTGTCTGACCCAGATGGCGAATAATTTCGTTCTGAAAGCAGTATAACCACCAAGCATGGCTGTGTTTGTCTGTTTTACGCCAAGCACGTCATTTTCCGAATCTGTTGATATTTCTGGCTTTGACGAACATGTCACATGCATTTCTCTTCCTTGGAGCGGCCAACGTATAGCGTTGCCGCTGACTAACCCTTGCCTGACGGTCGCTATGTTTAGACGTCTCTGTTGATGTGACTGATGGCGATGCCCGACTCCGCCTCGCTGGAGAGAGCGGCATTTCAGAGCGTGCCGCCTTGGATGCGGTACAAGTATCCCCTCCGACCGTGTGTGCGTGTGTCCCCCTTTGACCGCGTATGCGTGTCACATCTCCTCCGACCGTGTGTGCATGTCTCCCCCTTTGGCCGTGTGTGCGTGTCACATCTCCTCTGACCGTGTATACATACCCCCTCCCCCTCTGGCAGGGTGTACGTCACCCCCTTTGACCACGTGTGCGTGTCACATCTTTTCTGACCGTGTGTGCATGCCCCCCCCCCCCCCACCCTTTGGCAGTGTGCGCGTATCTCCCCCTTTGGCCGTGTGTGCGTGTCACATCTCTGACCGTGTGTGCTTGCCCCTCCCCCTGCCCGTGTGTGCGGTCTCCATTCTGACGGCGTCTTCGTCTCTCCTTGCGATGCCGGGCGGCTGCAGAGACGCGCGAGATCATCACCCTGAACCTGCCGGATAGCGACGGCGTCATCGACTTCGCCATGGTGGTCAAGTGCTGCCTCTGCTTCTCCCTCTTCTTCACCTACCCGCTTATGGTGTTCCCCGTGGTGACGATCATCGAGAAGCGGCTGCCGGCCAGCTACAACACCACCTTCCGAGGGGTCAGTGACCTCAGACGCCGGAGCGGCGCCGCGGCGCTTGAGGGGCGGGTCCGGCCGGATCCGGACTGCGGCGTCAGGGCTGCCGCTCTGTGGTCCGCCGCTGTGACCTCAGACGCCGGCCGGCGCCTGCGCGCCGGGTCGGGCTGGATCCGGACGCCGGCGTCAGGGGCGCCGCTCTGTGATCCGCCTCTGTGATTGACTGCCGATTTGGACACGTGTCAGTGCGTCGCTCCAAGCTGTGGTCATTTGTGTTGATAATGCGTTCAGTCCGGCCGTGTACAGTCGTGACGGTGCTCGGATCATCTAACGCGGACGCTCAGTGCGACTCTCAGTACGCTGAAGGGCCGTCTGCCGACCCGCAGAACGCGCTGCGCCTACTGCTGGTGCTGACCTCCGGCCTGGTGGTGGTGCTGATCCCCAACTTCGCCAACCTGATGGCCATCATCGGCGGCACGTGCTGCACCCTGCTGGCCTTCATACTGCCAGGCCTCTTCCACCTCAAGCTGCGCCGCAGGTTGGTGCGGCGGTCACGACCATTCGTTCACGTCACATCAGCCGTAAACCGCGCGGAGACGCTCTGGTGTGGAATCAGCGATGTTTAGTTGCTGAATCTCGAATTGATTGCTTCTGCTGTATTTTCCATGAGACGAAGCGAGCTTTCGTGTCGTTGTCTGTTGGAGTGGGCAGATTGCATCGCGTGTAAACAGTCTAGAGCGCGAAATAAAGGTGGCGTGCAGCGCTTCCAAGATAAGTTCAGCTCGCAAGAAATTGAGAGTCAACCTGCGTACACGTTTTGTTCCACGTTTTAGGTCGATATCGCCCCGAGAGAAGTATTTCGACATCTTCCTGATATGCATCGGCATGCTGGGTGCCGTCATCGCGACGTCGGATGCCATCTTTCGGATGTCGCAAGAGGCTGAGGTTCCGGCGCCTCCGCTGGAGGGCCTGACCCCGGGCGTGCAGGTATCTTGGTCTGCCGCGCCGGCAGGCAACGCGACTGCGGCGAGTCACCTGCCGCTGTCAGGCCCGATCACGGCTTCCGTCGCGACGTCGCCGCCGAACGACACGCTCTTAGCAGCGAACGGCACGCTCTTAGCAGCGAACGACACGCTCGCGGCTGCGGTGAACACGACTCTCGCGGCTGCCGTGAACGCGACTCTCGCGGCGGCCGTCAACGCCACGCTGGCGGCGGCCGACGCCGCCGGCGGCGCGCTACTGCCGGCCGTCAGCTGATACCGGAGCAGTGACGTCACGGCGGCCGGCCGGGCGGACGTCATGGGCTCGGTCGGCGCCTGGTGACGTGTGGGGTGCTGGCGGAGGGCTGTGCTGGTGCCAGGGTACTGCGCGGCACGCCGTGGCTCCAGCCGCCGCCGCCAGCGTGTGTCAGTATTGCAGACCGTGGGAGCGAACGGGGGGTCCATTGTGCGGGTTTATGGAGGGCGCGAGCGTCGCCGTGACTGTCATAATAATAGCTGCTGCTGCTGTGTGTGCGGTGAGCGCGGCCAGCTTTGTGAGTACCAACGCATAGTCAGAGGGGCTCCGTGCGGATGGCGTCGGCTCCTGGGCGGACGGCCGGCGGCAGACGACAGTTCCGGGCTCCTCCCATGGGCCTGGGCGGACGCCGAGTGGGCATTTCCGTAAAAGACACTTCCCGAATGCTGTGCGTGAGTGGCATTGGATTTAGGGTGCATGTTGAGCGGAACTTGTTGGTGGTACCGTGCGCATACCACTCGGGAAGAGCTACTTCAGTTTAACTGCCAGTTCGTCCTCCGGCAGCTTCGCCAGACATGACCATGGATGGGTCTTTCACACTTTGCAATATCATAACATGGCCGCCTGGCGCCAGGTTTGTCATCATTGAATCTGCCCTGACCAAATTCCCTCCCCATTTCTCTCTCCCTCCCTCGCTCCGTCCCTGGGACTCAAACTCAGGGCCAGTTGCCCTAGAGCCAAGCCCTCGCATCAGGAAACTCGGCCGAGACGGCATTTCCAGCGCTTGAGGGTCGGGCGTCGCCGCGTTCTCGTGCCAATGTGCGGCGGTCTGATCTGTGCCGCCGGCCACAGGGACGACATTGGTCGACATAGCTCAGTGTCACTGCCGCAGTCTTGGAATCGGTACCGTTCCCACGCCAGTGTACGGCACTCCGGGTGCGCCGTAAGGCTGAGGGTCCGCTCAGGGGCTGGGACGAACGCTGCTCTCGTGTAGTGTGCGAATGTTGGGCTGTTCTGAATGGTTGTGGCACGCTTCCCAGCGTTTGTTGTGATGGGACAGCAGGGTGCATTCCTTGAGGCCGCCTTCCACGCTCCTGTGCTGCTGAGTTCGAGCCGGAGCGAGATTATTTTACTACTCACTTGTTGTGATCTACCACGGAATAGTATTTTTGGAATAGTCTATTTTTGGGAGTGCGTTGGTCGTCCGCGGTGGTGTTGGGCGCCTGGTGCCGTTGGTGCTGACCCCGCTGCCCTGTGAGGGCTGGCCGCTGGTTGTCCTGCACTGCTCGCTGTCTGGAGGTCACTCGGCCTGGAGCGCCACCCGGGCGGCGCGCCGGCAGGGGCCGCACTCCTGCGCCACGCAGCGCCGTCTCCGGCGTGGGCCGGGCCGGGTCGTGCTGCTGCTCCCGGACGCTCGCGCCCGCAGCGGCTGCTGTCTGTGGGTGTGTGCTGGGCCGTCACTAAAAGGATGGAGCTGCGTCAGTTTCGAGCGCGGCAGTGACGCCGCCTGCGTTGGTCAGCTCATTTATAGACTATTTTAGTGAGTGACGTGCGAGTTGGGAGCGTCACCGGTCAGTGGCCCAGTGCCACGATGTGTGCGCGTGTGTGTGAAATGTAAGAGGCGTTTTTACAGCGAATGTTGGTGTTGGTTACTGTTTCTGAGGTATATTTAGCAATACAAGCAAAGCAAATTTGTTGTTTTTGGCCAGGCTTCTGCGAGATTGGAAAGCTTGTCAGGAAATTAGACTCCATCTCGTATATTTATGGTTTCGATCATGCGATTTTACGCGTAGAAATTGTACACTGCATACACGTCGCATGCGCACAACACCACAAGTACTTCCAAAACAGTATAATAAATAGCGCCCGCTCATGCATTCGCAGTGGGCTTCCTGCCAGACGTAACAAGTAACAAACGCAGGCCCACTAACAGGGCAAGTCAAAGCTAGATTACATCAGTAATGCCGCCGACACGTAACAACGACTGGCCGTCGTGACCTCAGCTGATCGTAGCTTGGCTTGCGTTTGAGCCCATAGCGCGAGGACGGCTCGGAGGGACCGCCCGACGGCAGGGCACACGCGTACTGCCACGGACGCCGTCCAGCCGCCATCGGTCGCCGCCACGGGCACCGTCCAGCCGCCATCGGTCGCTGCCAGGCGGCGGCAGCTGCTCGGTGGCTGGACGCACCGGCGCAGGCCCCGCCAACCAATCGGAGCACAGCCAGGCCCGATCGGCATTGGCGTCACAAAGCACGGATTCAGGCACGAATTTGTGTTTGTACACAATACAAACGCCGCACTCCTGCGTAAAACAATGCCACTGCCGTTAATACCAATTGCATTGCACTTTGCACGAACAACTGAATACGATGCCTGGGGACAATGGCGGCGGCTCATGCCAATTGCGAAGGGAATATGTTAAGCTGCGGGGAGACGGATTCTGACGTACGAAATATACTAATGTACTGCGCTGAATAAACCTAACCCGGTTCAGGAGTCATCTAGGCAAACGCGGCTGTGGCAGAAAAGCGGCACTATGTGGCGCTTTTATGTGGCGAAGAGCGACATTTTGAAACGCAGATGCTTTGAGGCTTGCGTGTGCCAAGTAAAGCACTATTATACGCTCCCAATGCTTATTCGCAGGGATGTCAGTAAAAGAACCACAACAAACGTGATTATTCTACTGTATCACTCCTTAAAGACCAAATGCTGATGAATAAGGGTGGCAGTGCAAGGCACGTGTCAGCCATGCTTCCAGTGCTCCAGGTTGGCTGCACCACAGGATTTTAAAAAGGGCCAGCTGATATCAACTGGGATGCCTGACTTCCCAAGTGAAAATGTCCTAAATGCGGCGAGTGCTCTAAAGCGTTACGGAAAAGGGAAAAATACGACCAAAGCCTTCAGTTGTCTTGGGTTAAGTCAGTCGGGCCAGGGGATGAAAGACGTTTTCTGCTGGATTTGAGTGTTCAGCCATCCAGGTAGAAAATAGAACGGGGTCCGACTACGAAGCTCAAATTTTCTACAAAGTAAGAATTTTAAAAGATTGTAAGTTCCTGACGCGCCTAGTCGCCACTTATCGCACCGCCGTCTGCACTGCACCCTGCGGGCGGGGCCTGTGCGGATGGGCCCTATGCGGACGGGCCCACCAGGATGGGCCCTATGGGGACGGGCCCATCCGGGTGGGGCCTACGCGGACGGGACGCCAGTCATGAGAGTCCGTCACGAGCCGCTCCGGCCCGCCACGAGCACGGCGCCACACAGACAGGCGGAGCCGTATGCGCCCGACACACACGGATCATTACACGAGCCCGGCCAACGTGCCCAGCGCACCACATCTCCACAATCTCACGCGCCACCACGGTCTCGGCGTCACTGTCAGTCCTTAACAAACACACGCGCACACAACGTTAGTGCGACGCTGAGCAACTAAGTAAGGGGACACCCGGTGCCTGAATCCGTGGTCATCGCAATCCAGCGACGCGCACTTGAACTGTGACGTCGACAGATCAGATGCCCATTGCCCACCGCTCCACTTCGGCGATTATGCCCATGATGCCGGAGCACAGCTCGGCACGCGGCGCTCGGCCGCCGCGCTGCCGCAGGGGCTCGGCGCCCCGTGAGTCGGTGCGGGACCGAGGCGCGACCGGGCCCTCTTCCCTCCGCCGGGCGCCGGCCGCCGCCGTGTCAGCGTCAGTACGGCGACTCGATGCTGATGAACTTGGAGATGTACAGCATGATGTCCATGATGGAGAAGTCGCACTCATACTCGTCCTTGCACTCCTTGTCCTTGTTGGTGACGCCGAAGAGGGCGGCCTTTTGGCGCGGCCCTGGGTAGCCATCAGGCCTGGCGGACAAGGTAGAGCTCAGTCAGCCGCATAATCACAGGGCAAAGCTCAGTCAGCCGCACAAGCACGCAGCAGAGCTCAGTCAACCGCACAAACACGGGACAGAGCTTAGTCAACCGCACAAACACAGGGCAAAGCTCAGTCAACCGCACAAACACATGGCAGAGCTTAGTCAGCCGCACAGACAGGGTGTGGGCATGATACGTTGGCTTGCATCACCAAGTAGAGCGTAGGCTAGCCATCACTATCACCCAGCTGCATCGGTGCTAGCCATCACTATCACCCAGGCGGCTGGGTGATAGTGATGGCTAGCACCGATGCTTTCAGGCCGCCGCCGTGTATCGAGGGGCGCCGTCCTCGTGCTGGCGTCCGACCGTCGGGACGTTGTTGAGCTCTCCCAGCGGAGCGCGAGACGACTCGGAAGTGTGCATGCCGGGGAAGGGGGAGGAGACCGCGAGGGACGCCTATCCCGGGCATATCCCAGGATACCGTCACTGAAATTAGGCCTCATCCTAAGATGCAATGGTTAAGAAGAAAACAGCAATTGTAATGTATTTGTGTGTAATATATATATATATATATATATATATATATATATATATTTATATTGTGTGTGTGTGTGTGTTTGTGCGCGCGCGTGTGCTTAAAAATTTATTTTTCACATGCATGACATATCTTTAGAGACCTTCCATCAGCAATACAACTATCGTGTGAAGCAGTTGCCCCAGAAGGCGAGGTCGTAGATAACATTTTCAGACATTTCTCTCACTAGGTTGACCTTTTGCTGCACCTCGCTGCAAGGTTGAGACTTCGGATCTGCCTGACGCTCCAGCTTCAGCGCTCGCTACGGCTGGAGTCCCAATCTCGAGCAATGCAATAAAAACGACTGACGTTTTATCATCGGAGAGGGGTTGATACTACACGTGTCAGATGGAGCTCAGCAAGTGTGATGAGTTATAGAGGGCATCCTTTTCTTCATACAATTTACTGCTTGAACGGGACAATGTTAACAACCATTTGTGAGCTGGTGGTGAAAGCCAAACACCTGCGATATGACATTCTCGCCAAGATTCAAAGCTGACACGAATAGTGTCACCTGACTTCGATCTCCGTGATGAGTGCGTGTGCCATGGTTAGTGTTGGACATGGCTTGGTGTGTTCATAACCGGAACATAAAAGACAGATGTTTGGTATAACAAATATGGGGAATAATGAGTCCCAACAACGAATATCACAAGACCAGCGCTGTTTAAATGAACATACGGGACGTTGGTAATTTTACGTGCGTTACGCAAAGCGGCAGAAATGAATTCTTGCCTCGTCAAGTAGTGCTCTAAATATTGACTTTGGTAACATCATCATTGCTAACCTTTCTGGTGCTTGCTGAACATACGTAGCATAAGTTGCATTTATGTATAGCATAATTATGAGTTACTGACTCAACTTCACTCACCGTTCCTGATGGGAGGAAGAGTTCTACTCAGGTAGAAACACATTCAAACGTATAGGTTTATGCATGATGTATAAATCATACAATAAACTGATGTATACGCATCGTTGTTTTTAGGGTACTGGGCCAGGCGCGATTTGACAAATAATTCGGTGATCTGCATTCTGTGTGATCATTATGTGATCAAGTTCGCGACTGTCTTCTTCATGACTTCAGAGGAAATCTAAATCAGGTTTTGCGGAGTTCTAACAGCAAAAGCTCTCGGGAGGTCCCGGAATGTGAACT